AGTATGTTGTGCCGCAAGAAATGGAGCGGCTGTGTGATTATTTCTCAGTCTATTTCTGAAGTGTTCATCTGTTCTGGACAGATAGGAGAAGTGTGGAAGGAAGAAGAGGAGCACTGTCCACTTCTGAAAGATTTCACTACTGAATGGCTGAGCTGTAAGCTCAGAGGATGTTGGGTTTTGGTTTTAGCTTGCTTTCAGCTGTGCTTCCTAGTCTGGGTTGAAAGCACCATTTGACTGAGGTAAGAAAGTAAGTGTGTGGGGGTGGGTTTGAAGCTCGGCTAACATCTAGGCTGAAGGTCTCTGGATCTGCAATATCGTGACTTAAAGCTTCAGTTGAGTTGTGATATGTTGGGGTGGTGGTTTGGTCTGGTGGGACAGGCAATACTTAGTGTCCTTATTCTGTGATCTGAAATGGGTGTGCATTTGTTTGAATTGTATTTCAAAATATTAGTTGTAGTTCTGTAAAATCTGACTTGGTCTTTTATACTGGTAATCGGACAGTTTACTTGTGTTTGCCACTGAGTTGAGGTAAACTAGCTTGCTTCTGCTGTTGTTTCCAGTCTTTCAACTTTTAATGGCCAGAAGCACTGCAGTATTTCCATGGGCCTGTCAGCTTTCAAATTTATCAGATATTCATAAATAGCCTATGACATGTGTGATCAATTGGCCAAAAGGTGAGGCTGCTCAGCCTGTCTTGCATATTGGTGATGCCACCAGCACCTGAAAAAATTGAGAGGATGGAGCAGATGGCGAAAGTTTCATCAATACTCTTCTGCACTGGGGATTCTTTTATAACAAAGAAGAATCTTGATTAAAACCAATTTGACTTGTCTGGGGTTTTCAGTCTGCTTGCTACGTTGTAATATGGACAAAACAAGTTTTCAGATGTGTTTCATCAGAAGGATGTATAGTTTTGCATAATAGGTCGGTATTTTGGAACCTTGCAAATCATTCACACACTTTTCTACACGTTTGCAGTTTATTATTGGATGCTTACTGGAATATGTTAGAATATTAATGTCTATTTTAAACACATATTTTAATATTAATATCTGTGTTACAAAAAGGAGATTATTTGTGCAGTTCGTATCAGCTCTTATGTTGCACATTTGTAAAACCACTGGCGCATATTATGTTACTTGCCTTTTTTTAGGTGAATAACAGAGATCATCATCACACTTTTCAAAAGTTAATCATAAAAAGGACTGTACATCTTTTAAAAGTTATTTATTGTATGTCTACAGGGTGGCTGTTGGTTTGTGGGTTTTTTTAGGCTTTTCACCAGTATGCTGTATTAAACAGTTGAACCATTTTTAGCTATATAAAAGACACCACATGGTTGAAAATCTGAGGGAGAATGGAGATAAGTATTACACTTGTGTCTTACAAACAGCTGCACATTCGTTTTCTTTCCAAACATTAACAAAGCCAACTTACATTTCATACGCTACGGTTTTGGTTCTGTGGAATTGAGGAAGTGATTGCTTTTGGATTCTGCTAATACAAGGAAATATTACATGATCAGGGTCAGTGTTGTAATTGTTTTTAAACAGGTACTCAATCCATTTCAAATAAAATCTAGCCCCTGCTATGTTTGAAGACATGTTAGGAATTGCCATTTCTTAGTAAGATGAAGGGAAAACTCTTCCCTGCAGTATGGTAGGAAGGGGAAGGGGGAAGAAACACAGCGGCTACCTATTTGCTACCATATCATGTAAGGGGGACACAGATGTTACACAAGGTTGTGGTGATAGAGAGGGGAAGATCCATGTTAACCCTTTAAGTGCTTCTCCCTTCCTCTTCTCGCAGCAAATTTGTGCCTGAGGTTAAAACTAGGACAGTTACCATGACAAATGTGAATGGATTGTTTTGAGACAGTGTTGCAGATTTATTCCCAGGCTGTCTTACAAGAGCTATATAACATGGTTGTGAGTGGAAAAAGCTTCCTGTTTATTATGGTGGAAGCTGCACTAACTACAGTTCCATTATGGCTATTACCATCATGATGGTTTCATTAGCAGTGTGTACGTTTGAGAATCTTGAACTACTAGTAAATTTAAATCTGTTGTTGCTGTGCAAAGCTGCAGGCACTTACGTTAGTGGAGGTCTGAGCTGAGATACAGATATTCTAATCCTGGGGTTGGCTACACATAATTACTTCTTTGGTGGTGAAAATAATGGGCAACATTACAGGAAATCTGCAGGAAGGCAGAGGTGTGTTAGTACTACTCTAATAAATTTGATGATGTATAAGATAGGCCTGAAGGTTGTTGAAAACTAATCAAATCTTACTTGCTTATATATGCGTGCAACACTACCTGCAGTACACTAGCCATTGGAGTCTAATGGATATGATATGACAACTGAAAAAATTGACAGAGGAAAAGGTTTTAAAGAAAAAACTCTCTGGTTTAGTGTTCTGAAGAAAAGGATCAAATACCTCTGCCTTTATTGAAAGTTCATGAGCTTGTAATTTATGTCCTTAGAGATATGCCTTTGAGCTTTTTTGATTTTGGAGGATCTGAGGTGTCATTTTTATGTTTATAGATGGGGAAAACATAAGACCAAAATAAATTTAAAAATTCCTTTACGGGTCACTTTTAAATATCTACCAGGTAGAACTGCTGTTTGAGAAGATGCTCATAGTTTGTGTTTGATGTGCATTTACAGTGTCCATATATGGGATTTGGTTTTATGATAAGGAAGAATGCCAAAGAATTGCAGAGCTCATGAAAAAGTAAGTGATGGGTAAACAAGACTTTTTGTGCTTTTTCTGTGTATGTATTTCTGTACATACATGCACATTATATTACTAGGATGGTCATACCTTTCTACTTTAAACCTGTTTTTATAGACTTTGTTGCAAGTAAAATTGTCACACACCTGCATTTTGTACAATCAGAAATAAGTCACTGTATTGCAATACTTTTTCATAATTTGCTGTGCAGCTTTCCAGCTACATCAGAGTGTAACAGTTCATCGGATTTATTTCCTGATGACTCAGAGATTTGTTTTGAAGAATTGTATTCTTTGGGGTTTTAATATATTTTGCAGTTTGGGGAGATTTTCTTTTTTAATGTTGCTGTTAACCTTTTTTTCCTATATAGGTGTAAGTGCGGGCTATCATGAAGGCATACTGTAACAATACAATTTCTGTGGGTTTTATCCTGTTTCTGCATCGTGGCTGAATTCCTGCTTCCTCATTTCTTACCAATATGTACAAAATTCATTTTGTTTTTGGAATATAAAGCAAGACTTTAATTAGCTTTGAATTCATTACTTTTGTGTACATAATAATATTATTTTATACATGTTATACTATCTTTAATTTTGCAATCAATTCGGAGATTAAAATTTCAAACAGAACTGTATTCTCAGCCGTATTTTAATCTAACAATATCACGGATAGTTTTTTCACTGTCACTGCTTTCTTCACATGTTCAGGATGGACAGGGCTCATTCTTCTGCTCTACCCTCTGGTTGGCCAAACAATGGGCTTGTTTGCAATGATCCCTTTCTTATGACTATATTCTGCAGTTTTTCATGTTTGCTTGGAGGAGGAAGCAGCAGAAGTCTTACAGATTTTTAATCAACATATGCAATCTGAGTTTTTTTTAGAGGTATTATGTGGAGGATATAGTAAAGAGGCCTGATAGGAACGGGCAGAGATTGGATATACCGGTTGCCTGCGGTATATAGGGTTGGACACTTCATTGTGTCACAATCCTTTGAAGGACAGGAGGAGGGGTGACGTAGAGCCAGGTCTTTGTCATCCCAAGAAAAGCCATGGGAGGTGGATACAGTCAAGCTGACGGCATTAGGTACTAACAGAGTGCAATGCAAAGGCACTGTTGGACCTGTGAATCTCTCCTTTTCAGGTCATCTGTCCCAGTCTTAACAGCTTCTGTAGCCAGAAGCATGCTAAGGATGTGACACCAATCTTGATTGCCAAAGTTACCAAGTGCCCAAAAGCCCATTTGTGTGCGCTGCAGTACAAGTCCAAACAAGGTTCATCCTTGCACATCTCGATCCATAGCAAAGCGCTTTAACTCTTCTACCACTATGTTCCAGATAGGATTTGTTATAAAATACTGGATAGGAAGGTAGTCATGTTTCCTCTATATCTCTTTTTAAAGTAGTACCTGCTGCTTTTCATTTTGCAGTGACAAAATGTTGTGAAACACGGACTATGACAATGGGTGGGGGTTTGTTTAGGGGGTTTTGTTGGTTTTGCTGTATATCCTGCAGCTCTAAAATGAGTCAGTTGTGACCCAAGAAATAATTGATGGGGATGAATTTACAGAAATAAGCAATAAACTCTAGGAAACCCAGGATTTTGATGGCTAATTTTAGTTAACTAGCTCAAGTTTCAGTTGGTGGTGATTAGGTACTCTCAGACTGGTAATTTACTACAACAAAAACTAGTTTTCAGAGGATTCATGCAATTGTAAACCACGTGTAGTGGTTCATAATAGCAGTGTTGCATATAGATAAAAAATACCCTGTCACTCTGCCAGTTGGCTGCATGTTTTAATTCTCAGTATTCTACAATAATAATAAAACAGCTGGGGCAGGAAATTGGTCATTTGCTAGTAGTTAATGACTGATTTGTGTGTGTTTGCCATCCTCCACTACTAGCAGAACTGAATAACACTATAAATTCCCTGCTCCTTCTGGGTATAGAAATTGTGACTGAGTTCTGGAAATTTTAGTCTATAGCCTAGTGTATTCAAGATTGGAGAAAATGAATCTCACGTCTGGTCAAATTATGTTTTAATATAGATCTTTTAATAGAGATTTTTTTACACTTGTTTTAATGTAGATGGGGGAAAAATGAAAATATTTGAGTTTTGATTAATTATTGTAAAGTAGTTGTGGTTAAACTTTTTATATTTTATCTGTTTTTTGTCTTGTATATTCTCCTCTCACCTCCAACTTTCAGCCTAACTCAGCAGGAACAATTCAAAGCACAGCAGGGCACGGGAACAGGAGTGTCCCCAATGATCATGAATTCTGCTAATAACAAAGAAGTGGATATCTTACGGATGCTTACCAAGGCCAAAGATGAGTATACCAAGGTGAGACATCCTCTTTTTATAGACAGCATTTCTTTTTGGCGATACTGTGATGCCAACTTGCTCACACTTTACATTTTAAAATACAAAAGGTTTTGTTTTGTTTTTAAATAGTTTTACTCAAAGTGAAACTGATTTTGGACAGCGTGCTCTCTCATTTTGTGTAGAAGTGGCTGGTAGAAAAGTTTTGTCAGAATTTGCTAAAGATTCGAAAGAAATGAATGCCGTCAATAAAAACTTCTGAAAGGAGAACATGTATATGATTGATTATTTGTTGAATGCTAGGAGGTAAGAACAAGTATAAATTGGCTTTCATTTTGACCCTTAGAGCTCCTGTGCTTATTGCGTAGCACCTGGAAGTTGCGTCCTCTTTCTGGGTGGAGTATTCAAACCTGCTAATAGTTTCTGTGGTTTGCACAAGTAACTTCCTTCAGAGAAGACCTTTAACAGTGAAGTTACTGCTTTTAATTGAGGTTGTTAGCTACTTCCAAACACTAATGGAAGGAAATGAAAAGGTTGCAATGTAGTGTGATTTCAGCCCATGTGCTGCTTTGGTCTTCTGAGGCTTCTAAATAAAGAAGTAAATAATGGACTAATAATGTTCTGTATTATTGAGCAATCAACAATGCTTTACTTTGGGGAATAAAGATCTAATAATTTTAACTATTCATATATACGCTGCAAATTGTTACAGAGCCTGCAGGTTCCTACTGCTGTTTCCTGTATTTCATATGTGTTGCCATGCAATAATAAAGCTCCTAAGTGTTTTGAGTCTGGAAATATATATATCTTAAACATAAGCAATTTAAAGAGAGAAAAAGTTATTTTTCTGAAATGTGGCTGCTAATAAGATCCTCAGAAAGATAATAGCAAACTATTTGACTTATGGTGAAATGTAGCTCTTTTTGTTGTGATATAGCTTCTTTTGAAGCTTAGGACCTTCATATTTTCTGTAATAGGGATTTAATGTATCATAGTGGACAAACACCTCCAAAACCTGGTATCTTTACTATGTTTTAATACTGAATCAGTATCTAGTCTTGGCAAAAAAGAGTGTGATTTGAGATATTATGAAATGTTTAAGCAGTTTTCATTGAACAACCTTAAAAATACTGTAAATGGAAAACTGGAAAAATATTAGGCTGTCTTCAGATTCTGTGAGAAGGAGGTAGTAAATCTTTAAAAAAGTTACCTTCAGTTTCTACATGAGCACACAGAAAATCAAGACAAAGGAGAGGAAATTCTAGAAGATCTGTTGTTTAAATAATAGGTTTTTGACTTCTTTTTTTCCTGCAGGTAAGATCTTTTGCAAATTTGCTTCTTCATCTTTAATCTTTCTGCATTTAAGTGATTGCTAAGGAAGTAACGTGAAAACTTCCTCTTTATCTGGGACATGAGTACTAGGAGTATCTGACCTCTTAAGAACTGGACATGTGTTTTTTTTCTTGTTTTGTTAGTAATATAAAATTAGGAAGGTTGTGATAAATAAAGGCAATGACAACCGTTTTTGTATTTAATGTCAATATATTTCACAGCAGTCATGCTTTCTTTGCTGCTTTATGACATCTATGTCTTTGCCAGTGTATGTCTTGTGACTTACAATGCTGATATGCTGAAATCAGTTATGAAATACATTGTTCTCCTCTTTTAATTCTGTGTGGTTTTGGAGAAGAGTGTGTTTTAAAGTGTTGGGAGCTGTAGAATAAGAACATCAATTTTCAAAGCATCTAAGGAATTTTGTTCAATTTTTAAGTCCTAGGATGCCTTTATTTTTTTTTTAAGAGTATAACTAACTTTGAAGGGTATATCTTATTCCCAAATTAAGTTACACATTTAAAAGTTACATGAAAAATAAAATACATAGCCTCTCCCCTCCTTTTTTATTAATGGAGCTTTCAGTTGCTAAACCACTGAAGTATTTTTTGAAAAATGTACTTCTAATGCACACTTGCCTTTTCTTGATCTCTGGTAAGAAGAAGTGGTATTAGCAGGCCTCATAATGATAGCTAGGGAGATAAACAGTTGAAGAGCTGCTAGGGTACAGAACGAAGCATGACAAAATGTTTTTCTCCTTAACCACTGTGCCTTGTCTTGTACTACAAGACAAGCTCTGGTTTTAGCTCTGTGCTGTACAATTCTTCTACAGCATCTACCCATTTACTACACCGTCTTTGATCTATTAAAGGTCAGATTAGGTGGACATCCTTTGTCTGGTTGATGTGCCCCAAATAACTGAAGCTTCCTTCCTCATTACTTCATTACACACAACCATTTGATAAGAACATAATTTCTGGTAGCAAGCAAGCATGGCCTCTGGGCTTCTATTTCTGTTCTTTGACTGCTTCTTCACTGTCTTTCAGCAAAATGTTCCAATGGTATTGCCCTGCCCAAACAGGAAGATAGTTTCTAAGTTTTCAGGTGCTTTAACTTTTGATTTGTTAACTGTGTGAAAGACTTGATAGTAGGACCCAGAAGGCCTAGCTTTCCTGAGGGCACTGTGCCATACTCGGCCTGGATGATGCAGAGTCTACACTACTATTCCTAAACAGTCTGAATTGGTTCTGTATGTCTCATTTAAGCAGGGCTCTGACTGGAAATTCTTTCTGCTACTGCTCTTCTTTGAGACAGTTCTTGTCCTCCTTAGCCCATCTCTTCTGCAGAGCACCTTGTACACCTTCATGTGACTGTTCATTAATGTCATCTTGTGGCTGCTTTACATCAGCTAGGTTGAAATCCCCAGTTTCCCGGGCTTTTTAGCTCTGCACTCAAACTCTGACAGCTTCGAAACTTCATCGCTTTCAGCATAGCCATCTGTCTACAAAGCTCTTCTAAGTTCCATCAGGTCTTGGCTGGCCTTTTCTCCTTGTATCAGATCTTCTAGCATCTCCTCCTTGTACTTGATAGGTCTTTGCAGCTCACATGTCTCGAAGTCAGGTTTTTGCTGCAGAGCATGAGATTGAGGAGTGACATGGTATTTGCTTCAGGAGAACTGCAATACTGAGGTACCATGCTTGTCCATTGTTTGTTTCCTTTGACAATGTTCTGTTCAGCTTGAGCTTCATATTGTACAGGTAGACTATGAAATCTCAAAACACAGAGCAGTTGTTTGCCTCAGATGTCTCTGACTATACCAAACTTGCCTAAAACATCCTAAGTGGTAGTCTTGTTCTTTTTGATTGACGTTCACCACACATGTCTGTTTTTTTTTCCAATGATGCTTAGCATTTCTTTGACTTGATCTTAGAACCTTTTGATTTCTTATGCATCTTTTATAGGAGCATAGCTTTGAACAAGACACATGACTAAAGGACAGACCTGTGAAGCAAGATGTAGTAATCGTCAGATGTCATAGCTGATGGGTACTCTTCTGGTTCTATCACTAAAGAGCATGGTGACATTTCTTTCGTGCTGCTTTTTGCTGTTTGATGATGATGGCATCTGATATCTTCTTTACCTGTCCACCTCACAGTTGCTTAAAATGTCATTCCGGTGCTCCTAATTTACTCATCAGCAAGGCCATGCTACCCATTGGCCCAAATGACCTTATATTCTGAGCTCCAGTAGTTACAGATTCCTTTGAAATCACGACAGGCTTTTTTTTCTCTTCAGCATACTTCCCTGTATTTGATAGCAGCCTACTAGCCATGTTATCAAATCATGGGAATGATAGCAAGTCAGGTCAATATCATTCTCTATAGGCCTTTGTGTATACTGCTGTTCATTTTGCTGAGGAATTTGGTCTGAAAAATGCTCATATAGTGATAACTGTTAAACTCTACTGCTTCTCACCTCATTTTTATATGCTTTGTTCTGTGATCATGCAGAGTATGACAGTGCAATCTATGGTACTCATGGTTTCTGAAGAAGACAGCCTATTAAAATATCCTGGAGAAATAAGGGCCAAATGGATTTATTTAAATTCTGCAGAACTCATTGTGAAATATACTAAAGTGTGTTATCCATCACGTTAAAGAAAAAAAGTTTAAATATGTTTTTTGCCCAAAAAGCTATGCTGAAAAATAGCAATAAGGAGGAGAAATATTGAAGAAAAGGCAGCATCCTGTAGAACGAGAACAGTTTCGGAGGGAAAAAAGCTATTTAATCTTACTGAAGTGTGGTTTTGGTCTATGTAGTATCATAACGGGTTAGGATCTGTCCAATCTAAAAAAGAAAATGATCTTCACTTGTTCTCATATGGATCAGATAGGGGCTACAGGAAGCACTTATTTGGACTATGGAAAAAAACTTTCATCTGATAATTAACTAGGTAAGATGCCTAATTGCCATTAAGTGAATGAGAGGCAACATAAGTCACCAGTCAGAAACTGGGTGGGGAAAGTGATTTAAGAATAATTCAGTCATTTGTTGTAGTGTATTTAAAATAAAATAAAAACTTGATGAGGTTGCAGAAGGCTCTGTACTAGGACATTGTTGAGGGTCCATATGAACTGCCTGAAAGCGATGATTAAAAAAAAGCTTGTAGAAAACAAACAAACAAAAAAATAAAGTTACTCAAATTCAAGGATAACAACATGTAAGCTCGGAAGAACCTAAGAAAACAATTTGTTTGAGCAGTGCATTGATAAATGTAACTCAGAGCTAATAAATGGAAAGGAAACTTTTCCTTAGTGTGAAAGCTTTAATAGTTATGTTAGTGTTGTAGGCTTGTCTTCTACGCTTTTTTTCATGGCTTCTTTCTGTTACGATTTTTCATAGCAATCCATTCATAACTATTTTAAATATGAATTGCAAAGCAAAACTGAAACTCCAGTTAAGTGTAGATTTCTGTCAAGTGCTTCCATTAATCAGGCTTTGAATCATACAGAAGGGAGGTAAGCATGGACTAGCTTTAAAAGAAAACTGTTTTGCTTACTATCAACAGTCTTTGGACTTTAGCGCTTTATTTGAATTTTGGGACGTCTTTAGTCATCAAACTTGCACTGCACTGTGAGATGGGTAGAAAGGCTCTGGGTGAATGAGGTATCACATTCTAGTAAAATTATTTCTTTGACACCCCCCAAGAGGTCAAAAAATGTAGCTGAGTTTAAATATATTTACATGTTGAATGTGGTCTGCTCAGATTAGCCATGAGGCACTTGCTACGGGGTTTTATATTCAACTGAAATTCAGTTTCGCTGTGAAGCTCTGCATTATTGCCAAAGTCAGTACTTTGTTGTTCATGTTTTTTCCAATCTAGTGCTTGAGAAAGTTTCTCACTTTATGCAGCAGGGGTATAGCAGGAAAGAAAGAACAAGCACCTGTCTCTTCTTCAAACTGTATAGCTAACCACCCTGTGGCATGATTGTGCATGCTTTAAAGCTATTTCTAAGAGCAACATTTGAACCAAAAATTGTCATACAATAGAAGAAAGCCAGGTACTGGCTGAGCGGAACTACACTTCTACTTTGCAAGATAGTGGCTTCAAATTCATTGCAGAAGTCCTTGACTGTCCAAACACCCACAAGATGATTTTTCAGCAGAGACTCGCAAAATCATTGAGATTGGAAGGGACCTCTGGAGATAGTCTAGTCCAACCTCCCTGTTTACAGCAGTATCAGCTACCAGAGTTGCTCAGGGCCACGTTAAGTCAAGTTTTAAATATCTCCATGGACGGAGACTCCACAACCTCTCTGGGCTACCTGTTCTAGTATTCAAACATTCTTAAAGTAAAAAAGTTTTTTTCTTAAGAATACACAAAATCTTGTTTAAACTTTTTTTTTGCCTTTTGCCTGTTGTCTTCACTGGGCATCACTGAGAAGAGTCTGGCTTGGTCTTCTTTACTTCCTCCCATCAGGTGTTTATACACCTGCCATCAGGTGTGTATATTATATCCTGAGCCTTCTCTTCTGGAAGCTAAGCCTCTCCTTGCTTGACAGGTGCCTAAATCAACTTCATAGACTTTCAATGAACTCACTCATGTGTCTGCGTCTTTCTTGTGCTGGGAAGCCCAGAACTGGACGTAGCACTGCAGTGCTCAGTAGAGGGGTCTAACCAGTGGTCTCACCAGTACTCTGCAGAGATGAACCTCCCTTGATCAGCTGGCAATGCTCTACCTAATGCAGTCCAGGATGCTGTTGGCCTTCTTTTGCTACAAGGGCATGTTGCCGGTTTGTATTCAACTTCTTGTCCACGCAGGTCCATTTCTGCAAAGCTGCTTTTCAGTCAGCACCAACCTGTACTGCATGGGGTTATTCTTCCTCGGTTTCCCTTTGTTGAACTTCATGTTCCTGTCAGCCCATTTCTTCAGTCTGTCAAGGTCCCTCTGAATGGCAGCACAACCATCTGGTCTATTAACTACGCATCCCTGTTTTATATTGTCTGCAAGCCTGCTCTGCCCCATCATTCAGGTCATTAATGAAGATGTTAAACAGTATTGACCCCAACATCAGACCCTGGGGTACACCACTAGTGACTGGCCTCCAGCTGGACTTCATGCCAACAATATTTTGAGTCCAGCAGATCAGACAGTTTTCTTTCCACTTCACTGTCCACTTACCTAGTCTGCATTTCATCAGTTTGTCTTTGAGGATGTTACGGGACACAGTGTCAGAAGTTTTGCAAAAGTCAAGGTAAACAACATCCACTGCTCTCCCATCATCCATCCACTGAGCCAGTCATCTTACTGTAAAAGGCTATTGGGTTGATCAACCATGATCTCCCCTTTGTAAATCCATGCTGGCTACTCCCAATCACTTTCTTGTCCTTAGTATGTTTAGAAATGGCTTCCAGTAGGAAGCCATTTGTTTCATCACCTTCCCAGGGACTGAGGTGAGGCAAACCAGCCTGAAGTTCCCCAAATCCTCCTTCTTGCCTTTCTTGAAGATAGTGCTGATATTTGTTTTCTTCCAGTCCTTGGGAACCTCTCCCAATTGCCTTTACCTTTCAAAAATAAAGAGTGGTTTCACAGTGAGAGAGGGTATCTCTCTCAGCTCTTATGAGTGCATCCCACCTGGTCCCATGGACTTGTGTATGTCCATTTTGCTTACATGCTATCTAACCTCATCCTACCCTACCGATGGTAAGTCTTCATCACTCCAGACTTTCCCGCCAGCCTCAGGGGCCTGGGATTCCTGAGGACAAATGTTGCAAAGAAGGCGTTGAGTACCTCCTAGAGCCCCTCGAGTCCCCTTGAGAACTCAAGTTCTGTTTTACTGAGCAGCCCTGGAAGCAGTGTGTCTTTGTTTACTGTTGGCAGTAGGTGTCAGAAATGGATTAAATGATCAGTTTTGTGTATTTGAGAGTGGGGGTTATTTTCTTACCTAATACATTTGCATCCTAAGGAGTTTGTCTCGGAAAGTTCTGGAAAGGACACTGACATTTTCATAATCACACAGCAGTGGCTCTGCTGTGTGTCTGTATGGCAGTCTGTCCAGTCCAGAATTCTGTCCCCAGTAATGCACAAGACTGGACTCTTTGGAGGAAAGAATGAGAAACCAAAACTGATCACTCCCTACCCAACCGTTAGTCCTGTGGCATAAAATTTAGAGCCCATCAAATTCAGGTAATTATCTATGGATATTCTTGTTAGATAGGATTAACTTTTTGTTAGATAATTCTTTAAAAAAATCTTTCCAGTTTCTTGGTTTCAATTGTATCAAGCGACAGTGACTTCCAGTATACTGTTTTCTTTTCTACTGACAATAGCATTCCTTATATACCCAATGCTTTTTTAGTTTCATTGACTATATTCTTATTTTTTGTACAATGTAAATAAGACCATCTTATTCACCTTTTCCTATTTCATTTAGTATTTCTTTCATGCAGCATTTTCTGTGCATTTTTTCTGAATTAAATCATGCCCTTCTGTCTTCATATGTCAGTCATTCCGTGTCCCTGATCACTTTGTCATCTGTCTCTGCCCATCTTTTTATGAATATCGTTATTAATCCTGTCATATTTACTAAGAAAACATACTGATTCTACAAATAGATTAAATCTTTAATTATTTTTCTGTGCGGGTATATGGACCCTCCAAGTTCCCACAGTGTGGAATATTTATGTAAAAGAGTTTGACATATAATTCCAGTTTTTACAAAAAGCATTTTAAATGTTCTTTACGGGCACATTAATCCTTCATGTATCTAAACTACTTCTAGCTGCCTACTGATGCAGGAAGAGCACGTCTCTTGCTTGGTTTCTAAGGTGCTTTTTTAAAATTCTTTTTGTAAGTGCTGGAAAAGCAGAAGATAAGAAAGAGAACTGAGATTTAAATTAGAGAGAAGCCTCTTACTCGGGGAATCTTGGAATCAAGTGTTTATTTTTACATATGCTTTGTGGTTTTAGAAAATTAGGTTGCAGTTGTTATAGTTCTTTTAATAGCATAACATTTCATAATCAGTGCTGCAACTAATATTTTTGGTTATTGAGTACTTGGCTATGTCTGGATTTTACTATAGTGGAGAACTATGGGAAAAGATATTGTCCCACTTACTAAAAAATACTTCTTTTCTGTTGCAGTGTAAGACCTGCTCAGAGCCAAAACAAATAACGAGTTCCTCTGCAATCTATAACAACCCCAACCTAATCAAACCAATTCCAGTGAAGCCTAGTGAAAATCAGCATCAACGAATATCTCAGCAAAGCAAGGTAAAATGTTTTGTGTTTTCTGCCTAGTGCTGCTGTAATCGAGTAGCCATGTAGGAATATTTATTTGAGTCAGAAGGTCAGTGCAAGAATTTGAGGTGGAATCACAGTAAGGAATTATTTTAATGAAAAACTAATCTGTTTTAGAAAAAGCCCCCAAACCCCACCATATGATGTGGAAGCACGTAAATTACAGGCATACTATCCTGATGCAACAAAGAAATACTTGTCTTTCAATTTTCAGATGCTGCTTTGATCGCAAGCTGGTCTAGTCAATTGCTGGACCACATTTTTTGTGTTCTTTATCTTTAGGTGAATTCAGTTAATCTAAATAAAGAAAAGTCTCTTGATATATCTTCAAGCTAAATCACGCTGCAAAATCCTAAAAACTGAATTCAGCTGTGACAGGGAGATGCACAAGAAGTGGCCCTACTTCACACAAGGGGAGATTTCTGTCTCTTACTAATATTGTACTGATGGCTGAAAGGGAAGATTCTCTTTCACGGTGTCTAAAGTGAAGCCACTGCTATCTCTGATTCACTGGTTTTCTCCCACATTAGCAGCTTGGCAACTGTCTTCTTGCCCTTCCTATGTGACAAAACTATTAAAAATTCCCTTGGAGAAGAGAACATAGCAGTTTTCTCGGCTTTTCCTTGAATACCGCTGGCTAAATATTGTCGCCACTTAATGTAACTTACGCATGAGGGAGCTATGTTTACTTTTTTCCTTTTTCCCCTCACAGAATGTGGATCCTGAACCACAGCACTTGTCTTTGACAGCACTGTTTGGAAAACAAGAAAAGCCGGATGTCTCAGAACCGCTTAATAAACAGCATCAAGAGAATCTTCCTGTTAGGCAAGGTGTGGTACGTTCACTGTCCTACGAAGAACCTAGCAGGCATTCGCCCTCTGCAGAGAAACAGCTTTGCCCCGCCATTCAGAAGCTTATGGTGCGTGGAACAGACCTTCGTCCGCTTGCTGAGTTTCCTGAGAACCGACTCTCTGAAAATGGCAATATCCACCCTGTGGGCGAGACTTTCACAGGACTCTTCCAACCTGTGACTTCTCATGGTATTGCAACATCTCATGTCGTTCAGGATACTGCTGGCACTCAGAGCTTATTACAGAAATTACAGGGTCAGTCAGGGTCAGTGACTAAAATGGACCCCAGTGCAACAGGATCTGTGAACTCGACAACTTCTGTGTTCAGCAGGACTCCTGCTGCTGTTGGAGCACCAGCAGCACCGGTAAACAGTATGAGCCAGCCACCTTTGGTGTATTTCAATGGTTCCCTACCAGGCCAGACTTTAGAGTCTCAGACACTTGGTAAAGAACAATCCAAACTTCCCAGACAGCCACTTTCCCTCTCTGGCAATCAAGCAGCCAGTTCTGGGGTGATTTCACCTCAAGAGTTATTGAAAAAACTCCAGATAGTGCAACAAGAACAACAGTTGCATGTATCCAGCAGACCAACCTTGGCAGCTAAGTTTCCTGTTACTCAGAATACCAATACACTGAAACCACTGGATTCCTGGATAGAAAAGGCACCGGGTACAGAAAACCCCTTTTTCTCTGTTTTCTAGTCTACACCACCCCCCCTTCTCCACCCACCCCCCCCCCCCAGCCACTTTCCCTCTCTGGCAATCAAGCAGCCAGTTCTGGGGTGATTTCACCTCAAGAGTTATTGAAAAAACTCCAGATAGTGCAACAAGAACAACAGTTGCATGTATCCAGCAGACCAACCTTGGCAGCTAAGTTTCCTGTTACTCAGAATACCAATACACTGAAACCACTGGATTCCTGGATAGAAAAGGCACCGGGTACAGAAAAACAGAGCTCTCTCTTCCAGGTAACTGGGCAACTTCAGAATTTAAAATAAATAAATAAATTAAAAAAAAATCTAGCAATCTTTTGAACTCAGAGTTTTGTTAAGGTTAGTCTTTGTTTTGTTTTGGCCAGTATATTCTTGTTACTATCTTACTACGTGTTGCACATCATTCATTTTGCAGGTGATAATTTACAACATCAAGTAAGTTATGGTTTACCAAGCTGTGATACTGTAAATACTGAAGGCTATATCTCTTGCACATCAATAATGACCAAAAATACTGCAGTCTTGGGTTTTTCCAGAGGCACTTTGAAAAGTCACCTAGTTTTCAGTTGCCATACTTGGTCTCAGGCTGTGGTGTGTAATTGCTGGTTACTGAGTGTAATATTTTGGGTTTAATAATTAGTTTTTCTTACAAAATTAGTCATAGCTTTCTCTGTGCAGGTATGCATTCCTTTGTATGCCAGTTGCTGAACGTGCTAAAGGTGCTTAAAAGGTCACTTATTTTCTAACAGCAGTTTTATGAAGTATTTGTATATTGCTGAATTAGTTATCTTGTACCTTAACTGCTACTTCTAGCTATTCATTAGCTATTTTTTATTTGCTGTGTATAATGTTGTAAAAAGATGTGCCTGAATGCCTTCAAAAAACCCAAACCCCTTAATTCTGGTGATTGTGACCCTAAAAGTAGGATTGGTGTCTTAAAAAACGTGGGAGATGTCAAGAGACTGGGTCTCTCTCATGAGTGCATTTTTCTGTTCTTCAGAAAAGCATCATGTGCAATTCCAAAATGTCCCATCCTGGACAACTACTGTCTTTGTTAGCAACTTCATTCTCTGTGGGATCTTCTACACTTGAATGTCTTTAAATGTCCTGTTGGGGGATGAGCGAGCATCTTAAGCCCCTTTTAACTTCTTTTGTTGTGGACAGACTGTCCACAAGACTTGCGTTGTACTTAAGTCTGACTTGTATTGTATTGGAGTCTAGAAGTTACTTATCCAAATGATAAAGCATTCACCTTTTCAGTGTAAAGTTCAAAAGCTGCTTTTCTATTGTAACTTCTTAAAAAGCTGAATGAAAGACTACAGAATACTTCAGCATGCCCCAAGAATCCTCCTTATTCTAGGAAGTTATCCTACACGTAGGATAGAGGCTGAAACAGTCATTTAACAATTAAGGGCCACATCAGTCACTAACACTGTGACAGGTCAAGATTTCTAATTCCATGAGAGAGGTCAGAGGAAGATGAATTTGATGTAGCAAATAGGCATCATTATTTTTATTCTTTTAATTAAAGCAGCATGACTTTGAATCTGTGTGAAAGAGTTTGGGGGGGAGTAGTCATTGAAATTATTCAGGATCAGTTGCTTACAGGTGGTAATCTGACTTTCCAGTGGAGTACTAATGAATAAAAAGAGGATCCAGAGTCTCAAAAATTTACTTCTGTTTTCACTGTGAATGGAACTTGCCTGGTATAAATGAAAGAAATTGACTGATTCACTGGTAAATGTACTGATAGCATGGAGACATAAGACGTTCCTACTCTAAAGGTAAAAGTGAAATGAGGCAAGTGCCAGGCTATACATTATAAGCCAGTATGCATAAATAAAAAATGGCAAATATGCTGATATATTTTCAAATGAAAAATCCATATTGGTGCTGATATGGCTAATGACTTTGCGTATATTTGAGAAAGAAAATGATGCCAGCATTAGTTGCAATATGGAAAGGGAATTACTGAGGTCTGACATAATGCAATTTCAATAATTTTATGCTTGAGTACGAATAGAACAATAGCTTGAGAGAAGAGCAAAATTTTCACTGGAACAAGTCTTATTCACTGCAATTATTGCTGCAAGTTTGCCTTAAAAAAAAAAAAAGGGCAACTAAGGAGACTCTCAGTCTCGCTTCGCATGGCTGTGAGCAGACCGAGTAGATTGAGACTGCCTAGGAGTGGCTTTACGGACTGACACAGCCACAGCTGCTATCAGAACAGTATTAGATGCAGTTCTTCCGACACATTTAGTATTGTTTATGAGAATTAATACACAGAATAAATACGGTGATGAAAGTAAAACTAATTATTGTTTAGGACACCTAAAGCTCTGCAATCTGGAAGGAATGGTCTCTTTTACATGCAGCAGATTGCCAAAAAAAAAAAAAAGAGAGAGGGGGCTAAAAATGAAGGAACGAGTCTGTATTCCTATAGAATGCCATGAATTAGCCACATGAAATATTCCTACTTTTGAAAAAAAAAAAATTGGAAGATAAAAATTTGAAACACCTTTTAAAACCAACATTAATCTTTTTCTAACATCATCCTTGCTGTAGACCAAAGGCTTTAAGTGCTGCCATGCCTGCAGACAGACATTCGAGTAAAATTGGATTGGCACAAATATTCTGCACATGCTCATGCAAAATTGATCAAAGCAGATTCTGACAACAAATGCAGCAAAAGGTTTGTTCTCTGTAATTATTTATCTTTTGGTATTGCCTCTTTTGTTACAATTCAGCATACAGAAAAAGCAAATTCTAAAAAGTCTGACAGGAATAGAAAGGTATCTGGACAGTGTCTGTTGTTGGAAAAATCCTATTAAAGGAACACACTAGATCCATCAGCAGCACTGAGAAAATGAAAGCAATAGTCTTTTCCACAATTGACACATTACAAGTCCAAGTTTAAATTGGCTTCTGCTGCATCTCCATATTGTGTAAGAACTGTGATCTCCCACATGGAAAGGAAGAGACCAGTTACCAAAAAAAAAAAAAAGAAGAAGAAAAAAAGCAAAAGCTGCGGAATAATACTCGGAAGCATTCAGTCTGGTCTGGTGCCAGCCCTATTCTGTGAAGTATTCCTTATGCAGACAGTGAGTAACGTGTGCTTAAGATGCAATAAAAAAGCATTAATCTGCAGTGGGCTTTTAAGCATATGCTTAGTGTTAGGCATGAGTTATCCTGATTATAGATACATGCATGCTTAAGTGTTTATGTTAATCAGAATTATGGTTTTAAAAGTGCTTACAATAACCTTGACACAAATTTATCTTTTCTTCAGAAGGCCACTTATCTTCCAGCCCATTTTTCTCATTTCTTGGAGCATTTTCCATCAAGAATGTATTTTGTACACAGTGTTACATTTTCTGAATATGTGCATAGTACCTAGTATCTTTGGTGTGAGCATTGCACTATTACTTCTCAGTTGTCCTCGCTGCAGTTTCAGCATGAGATTGTAAACGTGCACAGGAGGAATGCAATAGGTACATTAAACTTGTTTTGAAAAGTAATTTAAGATTCTGTAGTTAAACATCAGTTAAAAAATTGTGAACTAAACTTGAAAGACAAAGTGATGTTAGCATTGTAGCCAGCTTTATTTTAATAGTAACTGTCTTTAAATTTCCTGAACCGTACTTAGATTAAATGTTCTCAATTCTAAGTAATGCCACTAAAAACAGTTAGAGGCCCACAGCACCCACCGGGTGCTGATGTTCCAGAGGAGCACTTGATGCACATGGGATTCTGCACGCGTAGGAAGCAACAGAGGGTGCCAGTTTGCATTACAGGAGATCCAATGCATTCCTTAGTTCATGGTGTTATGTGAATTTGCCAGCTTTCACGTCATCTAGCTGCCAGCAGCCACGCAAAATATCAAACATATCTTAGTGAGCATTTGTGCTTCAGAGAAGGAATACTATATGCTGCAATGATTGTTTTGCACATTTTTCATTGTTCTTACTGCATTGTTGCACAACTGATGGTAGACTCCTACTCTGTTATTAGTGACTCAGAGATTTAAGCGTTGAACCTGATAAAGCTGGAGATAATTCAGTAGAGGCTGGATGAACAAGCAACTCAGGTTAGATTCTGTGGGAAAGTTGTTGATCAACAACAGCATTTTGGAAGGGCTGTTATGTCCTGTGAGAAATTACTCAAAGCTAAAAGATTGGCCCAAAGGCTATTATATCCCTACAGAGCATTTTCAGTGTTTTCAGCAAAAGTATGGTGCTATAGGAATTGCACTAGTTATGCCAAGATCAGCGTCCCATTTTCTGGTGGGTGTCAGTTGTCCTAGTGAGTGAAGGTGATCTGAACTAAACCTAAAATTAAAATCTGCCTTTTTTTTTTTTAAACATAAAGTTGTTTATGTAAGTTTGTTAAATGGCAGAAGCTTTGAGCACGAACTGTTAGCAAAAAATACATTTAATGTTTGCATACAGAAACAAATGCTATGCACTGAAAAAATGATACATATTTTCTATTCTTCCGACACAAATATTTTAAGTTTTGCAGTAACCTGTAGATATTAGCTGCGTCACCAGTAGATGGCAATATTGCATATTCCTTATAGCTTCCATATGCTTGGCAAGTCCTACCAAAAAGCCGTTTCTGTCCAGGGCAAACAGATAATTTTTCATATGGCTTTTAAACCACAACATTATATGTGTTTGACAGTAGTAACTGTATATTATGAAGAGCGCAGTTTGTCTCAGGTTTTGTTTATTTGCCTTGGACTCTGGAGATAAATGTCTTGATTTTGAAGGATGTGTCATCTAGGTCTTTGACATAGTCTGGCGTAGATTCAGCTATATTAGTGGGACAGTTTATCTCCTCCAGCTGCTCACCACCATCCCTTTGCTGGAGGTTCCTGCCCTTGGAGAGCAGTTTGTATGTGCATTGTTTAAATCACATTAGGAAGAATCATCTGGTTTAAGCAAACCCTGCCAATTTTGCTTGAGGTAAATTAAAGAGAAGTTACTTCAGCTGCATGGATGAGTAGAGGAGAAGCGTTGCGATACGTGCCTGGAGGTAGTCAATCTTCCACAGGCAGGGAACCAGTCTTCTCACAGGAGAACATCTGTGCGCAGTCTGAAGGCCTCGCTCCACAGAGGGATGTCACTTTGGACTTACGTTGGTTTTCTTCTGAAATGACCATTGTTTTTCAAGCATAGGTGCACAAACATATGCACTACCTTACTGTTTGAAGCAAACCTACAATGAGTTAGGAATACCTTAACTCATTCAGGAGCTTGTAACACAGACGTAATGATTGCTGTTATGATTACATGTCATGGGGTAGGAAAAAAGCTGTAGGTCAAGAGTTTTGTTTTTAAGTAGTACTCTATATTTGAGAAACAGAAACAATATTTACCTAAAACATGAACTGGGAGATTTTTGCATTAGGTGCATATTGCATGCTTTCTAATATCCATGAGTCTTTCCTGACCCCTAGTCGTTCTGCTTCCCTAAATTTTGTGTAAAACAGCATGAGATCTCAGTCCTCCTCATTTCTTTCTATTTCTCTTTGTATTGTAGTCTAACTAACATTGTTCAGAAATGTCATAACTTGTTGTTTGTCATAACAATGTTCAGAAACAATCATAACTAGGAGTAAGACAAGCTACAAAACTATGAATGTTCTTTAATATTAAGCTACGTTGTTTTGCATAACTAGGAGATAAACCTCAGTTTTATTTTCTTAATTTTAATTTTTCTTCAAAATTGAAATGTAACCCAGGACACAGAGTGAAGTGATTCAGTAGCCTTTCACCTTCATACAGGAGCAATAAATCATGCTTCAGTGCAAAAGAGAGGAGCTTTGGTGAGCTCAGATGAATTCCTTTGTATGTTCTGTTCTTTGAAAAAAAGATCGCATACTTGAATAGTGAGGAGATGGCTGATTAGGATTAAGATTTATTACTAGAATTACCTGGAGAGAGCTCCAATATCTGCAAACTGAGTGAATAAACTTTCCATTATGTTGTATATTATATCTGATAGTATTTGTTAATCCTGCATGTTTTACAGGTCCAAGATGCATTGCAAAATTTAAAAGTAAAAATTCTTCCACACCTATCTTTGCAGGTTGGCATGGATATGATACTGAGGGAACTTGCAGAACTACTGCAGCATCAAGGTTTTCCTTCTCTTTGAGGGCCTTTTTGATTTTGTCAACTGAGTGTTGGTTAGGAGTCGGTTCTGTTTCTGACAGTGCCGTCAGCTCTCTGTGGCTTTTTAGATAAATTACTTAATCTCTGTTTTCTTTCCCCTCTCCTTAAGTAAAATGAGAAGAAAAAAATATATACATATATATATATTCATAAAGTAATTTGGAAGTTATAATTGGAAAATACTTTCTAATGTTAGGTACAAAGATTAGTCTTTAATAGTGGTATTTGCATGTAAGTACATTCTCCAAGAGTAAACTTAATGACTTACTGTCCCTATGTAGAAAACTCTACAGGTGCAGTCTCTAACAGTGCTGATATTTAAGAGTGGTCTGATTTCTGTATTAAAATGCTCTTGTCCTAAGATCATTTGCCTATCAGGTAGACTTAATCACACTTGAAGCTATTGCTGCAATCTCAAATTGGATGGAAGACCTTTTAATCTGGAAATAGATCATATAGGTGATCCTGAACTGGAGTTTCACAGAACTGTATCAATCTCCAGCAGCCTCTGTACCTGTTGCAAATCAATCTGCAGTTTTCATCATCTTTATTCCTGTAGAATTAAGTAGATAGGTTTAATCGATGACTTTATTTTTATATGGACAGGTAATCTCACCTCAACGCATTCCTGCCACTGTGACTCCTACCTTGCTGATGTCCCCAATGGTGTTCACTCAGTCCACACCTGCTCCACCAAAAGCAAATGAAAGTGGGCGGTTAACAGCAGCAAACCAAGAACCTGCTGCTAGCTCAGCTAGCCTTCTCTTGCCACTGCAAACTCCAGAGCCATCTGTGGTCAACAGCAGCTCAATGACGAAGATGCAGCTGCAGGAAACACTGCTACACCTGATCCAGGTAAAGCGCCAAGAATTCTCCTACTTTGCTTAAAATTCTGATTCCCATTTTGATATAAGCACCTTATAATCGCTTGCATCCATCTGTCTAGAGGCTAAATGAGTAATTGGAATATATAGTGGAAGTTGTGCTACTTCTGGCTGCATGTTAACGGAGCACTATGGCATAGACCACGGACGTGATAGCCTCTCCATGCACACTGCTGGCTTAACTGCAATTTGATTAATGCATCTGGTTTGGGGTTCAGGAAAGATAATGAATTTGACGGAAAAGAACAAAGATGACTGAAAGCTTCATAAGGTCGGCCTATGAGCCAGAGGGGTATCTATTATATTTTTAGCTAAGGATAAATAATGGGTGATTATCCTAGCTGCCAAATATTTCAGAGATGCATGTTAGCAGTAAGAGTAATTCAGATGGGAAATTAAAATTGCAGGATGAGTGTAAGCAACGTCAAAATATGGGTTAGATAACCTAAAAATATACTAGTTTGGTCTATTCAATGCAATTCTTTAGTTCAAATGCTAAATTCCTCTTGCTGCAGTTATTCAGGTTTAAATGTGACACAGCATTAACAACATTATGTATGCGATGATTGTTTACTGCTCTGGGATGATGTGAGTGATTATGAATATTTTTTTCCTTAGCTTGCCATGTGATGAATATCTGAAGAGTAGAGGTTGAGGAGAGGTTTTATAACTAAAGACCTGGCTATAAAGCATAAGGAATAGAGACACAGGTTTAAGAGTCCAATTTGTAGACCAAAACTATGTGCCTGTATGGCTTTGGAATAAAAATAAAAGTCGCCGTTGGAATGTTGAAGTTACTCACTTAAAATGCGATTTAAATTACAGACCCAGAAAGAAAATAGTATCTTTAACAAATTAGAAGCTTTTCACATTTTTCCCTGTATTTTTAGTTTGGGATTAAAAAATAAAATATGACATTCTGCTGTCTTTACATACTTTGAGTATCTAGATAGTAGGAAAACCGTATATGAAGTTAAAAAGGAAACTAGTCAAGGAAAATCGGATTTTACCGTCTGAAGCTGTACTTGTATATTTGACCCTGTTGTTCTTGGTGGTAGTTAGGATTAACAGAGTTACCTGGAAATTACTGCCAATTTCTTACCTGTTACTTTCCATTATATAAAACTACAATCTTGAATGCTCCTGATTTTCCTCAAATAGTATCTTGATTTTAATAATCTTCATAAATTTATGCGAGCTACTTAGGACATTGTTTCTTAATGGGGGTTGACCTGTTCTTGCAAAATGATCTTCAGAAGGAGAAAGTTAAACAAGCATCAGAGCAAAAGGAGCAGCGTCAGTTTAGGAGCATTAAGTCTGAAAGAGCTAAACAAGATGCAAGGATTTCCCCAGGTAGGATTTAGTATAGGATCAAAACCCAGGGTGTTTTGCTGTTCCTTCAGACATACTTAGAATTATCACTGACTTAATGGAGGAGACTACTTAAGGAAATCCCTAGGTAAATGAGGGCAGAGGGAAGAAATTATAGGATTGTATCGTCACTGCGATATCATTCAAGAATAGTGGACTCAAATCCAAAATCTGCTTTCTGTGTACTCATTAATTCTTATATAGTCATGTTTGCTGCAATAAATTTATATTCCACATCCGGTTCTTCTAAGGCTACTAGCGAGGCTTGGAAATAATACATATTTCTGGTAAAGGAAATAGCCTTCCAATTGCTCACGTTTTAAAATAGAATAAGGTTGAAAAGTATTTCATCCATGAAATGGAAAAAACTTCTCATCTCTTTACTCAAGAACACCTATCGTGCACTAACAATTACCTATTTTGTTTTTCAGAATGATGACAACTTCTTAAATATTATTTATGAAGCATATCTCTTCAGTGTGAGAAAGGCGGCAATGAAAAAGTCTATGTGAAAGATGATTTTAAAATTTAATTTCTGTTGCTTCCTGAACTCCAGGAAAAAGGTTTCAAACTTTTCAAGTACGTTTACTTTTAAAGAAATGAATGGTCTTAGGCATTTTGCATACACGTAGATTTTGCTTGTTGGCAAGTACACGCTGTACTGAGAAAGAAGTGAGCGGAAACGGATTGTGCCTTCAAGGAGGGGAGCATCACGATACTGAAGACTTAATCACAAAATATCTTAAATTATTTTTCTTACATTGGTCCATATGTAGAATTGGTTTCCCTGCATAAGGACTCAGTTCTCAGAATTCAGTTTCCTTTTTTACTTGCAGTGTGGTTATTCGTTGGCTAGGTATTTGTCATGGATTTTCTCTGAGACGTCATATGCATCTGTCACGACAGACGTGCCCGTCTCTGACCACATGGTGGCAATGTTGGACTATTTTTAGGAACGTGAAAATCCGGGTGAAATCTTGGAAGGGAAAATCTTGGGAAGACTGATTTATCAGTGTACTTAGTTGTCTGCAAAGCAGTTTAGATGAAATGTCATGACTTTCCCCCAAATTTTTGTAGAAAAATCTTTTTCTATTTTAACAAGAATATTTTTAGCTAGCTGTAGAAATGGGACTCTGCAGGTGTCTTGAAGAAGATCTCGCGGGGGGGGGGGTGTTTGTGAATGTATTTGCTATCAGCGTAGCTCTGGGGTGGCACTGGATTCATGTTTCTATTATTCCAGATCCAATCTGCATTACTATAAGCAATGTACAACTTTGTTAAGGGGAAGGCTACCTGGTGTAAAAGTCCTATTAGATTTTTTTTTTAGTGTGTTCCTGGAGCACAGTGATTTCATTGATCCATTTCTAAAGAAAATAAAATGGATAATCCCTACTATGTGCTGATTTCATTTTATTGTACCATGGACTATGTATTTAGAATTGTTGGGTCACTTGTATTTGTATGACTTTAAAATGTTTTTACACTTGGCAGAAGTCACATGAGGTTTTAAATCGATTAGAATAAATGACTGAAAGAAATTTTATGTATATTTTTATTAGCATCTGCTGCTGAAGTGCCAGTTTACTACAGTTTAGGAATCCGACGTTGTTGCTGAGGAGGCATTTCTTTTGTGGGCGCAGAGAACCCAATCTGTAATCCATAAATGAGTATACGCTCTTCTTTACTATGGGCATTGATGTAGGCATAACTCAGTAGCTTCATCTGTAAAGGTTCTGCAGCGTAAATTAAGATGCGGGTTTCAATTAGTATAGCTGTAATGATTCAAACAGTTGCCCCCACCCCCATGTATCTGGCCTTTCTCTAGTGTAAGAGTGTGATTTGGGGGGGCAAGGGGTGGGGGGGATTTGCTCACATTCCTTGGGAAAGGCTCTAAATCAATATTAAAAAAAAAAAAAAGTCAAGAGCTACTTTCTTTATACACAAGTGAATAACCCCAAGAGACTCGTGCCTACAAAACTTCCAGACTTTTCCTACACTAAGTAGTTTGTAGAGAGCACATTGTATTCTGGTTCCATTTTGTTACCAAATTGCTTATGATTCTTGCAGATTCAGTGAAAAGAACATGTTGAGCAGATACCAGGAAGGGCAGACTTTAAAGATAGCAAGTCCTAATTCTAATTTAGCCATAATAATTTATGTAGCCATTGTAATTTATGGGATTCTACTGAGTTAATTGGTATTATTTCTGAATGAACTGGTGTGGAAGAAATTGGAATCTGCACAAAAGAGTTTGTATGAGACTAAATACGTGCATAATTGGTGTCTGTGATGCTGGATTATCTGAGAGTGCAATTTAAAGATGATGGGGACACATAGTTAACACCTCACTTGACATGTAGAACTTCTGTAATTGGTGGGTAAAAATAATCCTTAAGCATCTCAAGCTGTGTTTGTGATAATGTTTCCTCCATGACTAGAAAACCTTTTATTTACAAAAAGGGCAAGTAGAAATTTTTAAAACCTCCTTATTTATTGCTTTTCAGAGTAACGTATCATTTAAAAAAATTAAAGGCATATTTTTTAAAACCTCTTCTGTTAACTCTTGATGTTTATGACAACAGTAGTATTGGCACTTACCTTCAAGCAGACAAGGACAGAGCTAATTCAGGGTTTCTTCTCACTGCCCTCTCTTCTGGTTACATCTACAGCAAGTAACACTGACAGAGTTGGATTTCTCTCACTGTAAATGAAATGCTATAAGGGATTTCTGGCATTGTTCAGGAGGCATAAACCTGCCTTTTGTGGAGCGAAGAAAATAAGGTTAGTTGCTAAAGAAGGGAATGCTGCTTTAGTTGACTTGCATGCTTACCAAGAACAACAGAGGTAAGAAGATAGAACAGGCTCAGAAAGAAACTCTGAATTTTATGACAATGAACGGAAAAGTAGTGAGAGAATTCTACTGAGAAATGAAACCAAACTTGTTGTCTAGGTTTCTGTTTCAGATGGCAGGATCGTCTTCTTCAGAGGCATTTGGGAATTGGAGACTGAGCCTGGAGTCATACTGGAGTGTAAAACTGTGCAGTGTCCCTTCCTTCTTTCTACTGCAAACTGAAGTACCTGTCTCAGAAAAACACGTTTTCCAGAAATATAGTTGGAGCCTTCCAGTACTGTGGAAAAGCTGGAGGATCCACACGTAATACCAAAAACTTCATCTCTGCCTTTTGGTATTGTGTTTTGTTTAATAGCCTTTTTATCAGCTGAGACTGTCTCTTTATGCAGCCAAATCTATGCGTGATACCAAAATGTTTATTTCAGGTTTGATAGATCACCTCCGAACTAGAGTGGTTCTGAACATCAGGTTCCTTTTATTTTATTTTATTTTATTAAGACACTGTTGGAACTAGGGAGCCCTTTAAGCTAGCAAGGCCTTTGGAAAGGAAAAGGCTGCAGCAGTTAGGATTGCCTTTCTTTGGGCTTTTTTTTAATCTGAAAAAGGAGAAAAGGTAGCAAGCAGAAAATCAGAAGGTATGTAAGGATCACATTAACTCTGCTTTAGACGCTTCCACAGTATGCATGTGTAATTTTTTTTTTTTATTGTCTGTGTATTCCTTAATATACTGCTGGTTTTAGTTTGGTGTGGGTTTTTTTTTTCTTTCAGTAGAATAAATACCTTGTAAACTGGGGCTTAGCAAGAATTCCAGGAGTTGCAGCAGTGCTTTATGCATTATTCCCAGTCTCAGCATTGAATTGATATTAGTTTTCAGTGTATTTCCACTTAACCACTGTCCACTTCCTTACAAAATTCCACACCTATTAAACTAGAGTGAGAAGACGAGGAGTAGAAAGTCAGTGAAATACTGAAGCATAGTCTCTGTCAGTGTTTATCATGGAAATCCATAATATTCAGTGAAGGCATCCAAATACTTCTTCAGGCCCTTCTCACAGAAAATTCAAGTCCTTAATTTGATATTTATTCATTAGCTCTCTGTTGCTCCTCTATTTACTCCCCCTTGTTGTAGCTGCAACGGGGATAATTAAAATTGTACAGCAAAATAAAATTTTCCAGGAGCAGGATGCAGCTGAATAGGCAGGATGCTTCGTCTCCTCTGACAGCCTATTTAGAACATGTTGAGCTTTGAATTTCAGTCATGAAAGTGGTGAGTGTTGGAGATACCTTTGTCCCTTTAGGATATTAAAATCATAGTTTAATATTTTGGCAAACTTGGAGATCTTTGAGGAAAAGGCAAAATTAAAAGACATTTTTCAGTAAGCATTTGAGGCTCTAATGTAGAAAATGTTATGAGATGGCAGCTTTACCCAGAGGGATTCCTGAAACCTACAAAAAGGCAAAATTCTAGTCCTGGAGATGAATAATGCACTAAAAAGTTAATCCTCAGTTAACCTACAGTAAACTTTACTGCTAATACTAAGGACTTTTAGGCGACTCTTACAAGTCCTTGCCTTTTCCAAACTGCTACGGATATCTCCAACAAGCTTGTTCTGGCCTCTAGATGTAAATCTGTGCGCAGCTGAGTTGGGAATGTAGGAGGAGGGAGCTTGGCATATACAAACAGGAGGAGGAAAATGTGGTTCTGCAAGACACTGAAGAAACAAAGGCTGTAGCTTTATAAACACTTTAAGCTGGCTCTGCTGCTGAAGAGGCAGCCCGTCCCAGCCACCCACTCCTAGCTGCTCATCCCTGCTCCCACACCAGTCTTTCCGTCCTTTTTCCTTTATTTTTCTCCTTTCTTATTTTGATTAAGACGGCTACATGATAAAATGTATTGCAGCAGAATTAGCCCAGGTTAAGACTCCCTCCACGCCAAGGTTGGTTTTAACCTAGATGAGTTCAGTAGGCAGCAGCCCAGGCACCTGCATCAGTGTATAGATAGGGGTGTGCAGCCATGGGGATAAGGGGGTGGGATGTGGGGAGAGGAAAGTGAGACGGGAGGCTTGAGCTGCGGAACTGCCTTAAACTGACTTGAAGCTTTTGTGAAACTGTGATCTAAAGGCCTTTGCCTCTTCGCTGACATTAAGACTTGGAAGGTGCCACGAAGATCAAAATGTGACTTCGTTGTTATTCCCTACCTTGGCTCTGTGTGGAAATCCATGAAAGTGTTTGCAGATACCCCCACAAAGGGTAACTACTGTTCATGAGCCTAATCTCTCCAGCCTCTCTGCAAAGCCAGTGGAAAGACAGGATCCTCTTGAGGGCAAGTCTCAGTACAAACCTAATTTAGCCTGGGAGATTAGATTGACTGGGCTAAAGTTAGTCTTAGCAAACACCTTCCCCACCACCACCGTCTTGTACTGAAGCAGTACTGACATCAGTCAGCCCCTACCTTTCCTCACAATACAGCAGATGTTTGGGTGAATTTTCCCTTCCTCTTTTTTTTTTTTTTTTTTTTTGATTTAATGGAGACTGTACCATCAAACCTGAACAGACTGTTCAGATAAAAATCTGCCCAGCATGGAAGTGAATGTGAAATGCGGGAACCAGATTGCTTTTGTATGTGTAGCTGAGAAAACTACTGAAACAAGCAGGAAATAAGCACTGGGTAGATAAAGGGGTGAGAAAAAAGAGATTTTTAGGTCATTTTAAAAAATAGCTTTTGGAGAAAGTGTGTCCGGTATATAAACACCTTTACTTTATAGCTGTTACGGCAAGAAAAAAGAGAGCTGTTATGGAAAGGAATAGTTGCAAGTAATTTCTGTGCTGCTTCCTTTCAAAAGGTAAGCGACATCGTAAAATCTTCCAAAGAATTAATTTAGAATAAACATCTGGTGTACACAATAGGAAGTCACCACACATTTTTTGAGTAGCAGCTTCAGTCATACACATAATAAAAAAAAATTTTTGAAACCATTTGGGGCATATGCTAGTTAAAAGTCCTTTTTACTATATTTGGACACAAATTCCACAAAAAGCAAAGTAAGCTCTGAGTTCAGAACAATGTGTCTGCATGAACACCACCAGTCAATAAAGGCAGAAGAAAAAACCCTCTGGCGTGTGGTGACTAAACAAAAGTCAAGAAATAGAAAGGATGACATCTTACTATCAGCAAGAGAGTAGAGTAGAATAGACCAGACTATTTCAGTTGGAGCCTCCTTTCAAACCATGAGGGAACTATGGGGAATCATGGCAAAGTTCTGCAGCTGCTACCACGTACATAGAGGGATGCTAATCCCGTCGTTAGATCATATGTAAATATTAACGCTTTTCTTGCCCGAGTGCTGGCGGCCTGCTCCATAGGCCCGTGTGCTGAATGCAGAGCTGCTATGCGTTGCCTTGAACAGTGCTGCTGCGCATCTCTCTTACACCACGTAGCGGTGGGTACAGCCACTGGTACTGTATTTCTTCACCCGATACCTGAAATCTACTTCTGAAACGCACTAAAATAGGGAGATTATTATTATGTCACTTCAAAAAA